CAGCCAACGAGGAGAGACAGCAAGGCTGGTAGAAAATGTAAACTACGCGAGAGACGAGTGGTTTTGTGGGTAAGTTTTCACCATGTCCTGGTTCAGTTGGCCACTTTCCGAACATTCACAGCTCCGAAGAATGGGTGCTATGCATGACGCAGTTGTCTCCTCTGCTTTCGCAAATAAGTACAGCCATTCCAAGTTTCTGCACTACTACTGCTACTGCTACTGCTGCTACTACTACTACTACTACTACTACTACTACTACTACTACTACTACTACTACTACTACTACTACTCTCAGAATTTTTCCATTCCAAGTTTTTCACACTACTACTCGCATAATTTTTAACTTCTTTTTGTATTGTCTAGAAATGCGGTAACAGGCACCGTTTCCATATGCACGAAAAAAGAAAAAAAAAACACCGCAACAAAAGTGCATTTTGCACCAGCTCCTTTTGTATGTGTACAATGGGAAACGGAGGGGAGCGGTACATTTTTGCCAACCAAATGCTGTCCCACGTTTTCAGGCCCCTGCAATGGAAGCTCAACTGGTTCCGGGATACTTGCTGTCGATACAAGGCCTTATGCAACTATGGACCCAGGCCTCTTTATGCCTAATTCACCAACCAAAAAAAAAAAATGCTACAATTACAAAATGCTATGGCATATGCTACAATTAAGTGCCTGCAATATTCTTACAGCTAAAGACAAAGTTCTGTCAATTGTACCACTGTCACGCTTACGCCGAAAGATGCTGGCATTTGTGTCAGCGCTCATCCCGGTCTTTCCTGGCCATTTGAAGTCACAAGCTATCGTTCAACATACGATGCACAGCAACCGAATATAGCATCTACATTGAGTACCCATCTAATCCTCCAAGATACTTGTACTACAAAGAAGGGCTACAAAGTACAATGTGACATGGCATGAAACCACACAGACTGACTGCCCTCTCACAGGTTGTCTGAAACGTGAAACAGGTGAACGTTTTAACGTGTTTGTCAGGGGTGCAACAGCAGAAATAGAATTCGGAGCAATTTTTGGAGCAGTAAAATGTAAATTTAGAGCAGGTTCCAAAGAAAAAAAAAGTATACAATTTTTTATTGCAGAAGACCAAACTTAGAGCAGTATAAAAAAGGAAAACTTACATTTAGAAAAAAAAAAGTATGTACAAGCCATTTATCAGCACTGCTATTTCAAAATAAAAGCAGTATTTTGAACCACCCCACCGAGCAAACAATGATAAAGCCCACATTATGATTTGGTGCATCTTTTAAGTACTTTGACAGACTCTGTGGATTCAGATGTGGATCCAGCAAGCTGGAGACCTTGAAAATCAGGGGATTAGCGAAACATAGAAGTAGGGGGTGGCCAAAAAAACAATAACAACTAGTGCAGAGATTTTTTTTTAAAAAGGCTCCAGCAATGTGATACAATGCTCGAAATGATTGCCTGTAACACGTTTAGAACTCAAACATCATACTAGTACTCACAGTTATGTGGCATATACACGCATAAGTAACTGAACAAAATGAGCTGTGTCGTGTGAATAGTGCAAAAGCCCTTTCCGAATCTTAGTACGCTTTTCTGCAGGGCACTGGTGTACTGCGGCGAAGGTGGCTTAAGCAGTGTTCTGCCCTGAGCAAGGCCAAGAAATTTCGTAATGTTGCTACGCCCCACACCCCCTTTTTTTTTCCACGATGGGATTGGGTTTAGGCCACAATTCCTCAGCTGCATTCCACCAGATAAAGTAACCAAACTACGTGCTCGTATCTGGCGACAGCACCGGATATTCATAGCTGGGACGTCGCGAATAATGCAACTCAGAGACAGAAAAATGTTCTATGCACTTTTGCTATGGTGACCAACAGGGTCGCCGACAACGCCATCGTTCGCAGCACGTCGACTCCGTTCGTGTGCGAAAAACACTGTATGCACTTCCAGCTCTAGTTGCTAACGCGCCATAGCCACGTTTGCCGACTACGGCCACGCATTTCTGTCCAGAAGTTGCGTCGTCCCGCTGTTAGGTGTCCGCTGTGGTCAGCGGACCGATGGGGGTGCGGCGTTGTTACTTTAGCTGGTTGACCGCGTCTCGCGAGTGCCCTGACCTATGAGAATATATCTGACACCGTGGTTTAGGGTTAGGGTACGCGTGCTTCAATTGATTGATTGACACAGACTGTAGGTGACCAACATGGCCTCTATTTCTAGCTGAAATTAGTGCTACTTAGGGTTGTGCAATTAGTGATATTCTGAAGCTGGTCGAGCATTTTGGCACAGCGTGGCGCAATTTCAGCAAATTTCATGGTTTTGGCGCAGAAATGAGGATTTGTATCAAACTGGCGCAGCCGTTGCATCCCTGCTTTGTACGACTAACAGTAGTGTGACGTGACATTCCAAGAATGATCAATCCAAACGACGTCTTCCAAACTGAACAGTAAGGTCGAATTTGCGAGATAAAAAAGAGGGTCGCACAGAGAAGGAGAAAGAATGGGAGAAAGTGAGAGCGACGAAAGTGTCTAACATATGAGCAAACAAACAGGCATACACGATACATCTCAGTAGGCCATCGAGGTGCACAAGATGACACGACACGCTTGTTGCCGTATCACAATACAGATACGTAAACACTGCAAAAATCGTACTCTCTTCATACAATCTCGTGCTAAGATTGCTTGCTTCACTAATGTGCAACATAGCGAGAAAAAATCTACGACGCAGGCTGCCAGTTGGCAAGTACCAAATTTCACAGCAGGTCTTGCACATTTGTAGAGAAAATTCACTTGATATGTGTGACCGACCAGCTCATTGAAACAGCAGCAAATGTTAGGCATCAGTGTTGTCAAGAACAGAAAGTGAGGAGAAACCCAATTCACCAGCATCACAGAGTAATGAAACAATGCACTGGGAGTTCGAGTGCAAAGACGTGACATTTCGTTTACAATAAACAGGTCTAGCAATAGACGACCACCACCGTCATGTTATCCGCTTGCACACAGCTATCGTGGTCAAAATGAGCGTGCATCAGAACAAGCCACAGCATACATATACCACCACCATCCCCATCATAGTTGAGACCCCACTCATCACCACCTCAGTCACCACCTCCGTTATCACAATCACTGCTGCTTGTCACACACGGTTGAGTTTTCAGATACAGAAGGCCAAATGCTATAAAACGAGTGTGCTACAAGCATTTACCACCACCACCACCACCACCAAATACTAAACGAGACGCGGCGCTTATGCTAGCGAGAGAGTCGCAGATTACCAGTGCCTCCTCGGTCATACTCAGACAACACGCTTTTGTCGAAATAGAGCTCGCAATGATCGACAAACACTCACAAGCTAGGTTAGGTACACAATTTGGGCATGTCAAGGCCATCTCAGCAAAGTGTTAGTTGCTGAATAGCCATGCGTGATGGCATGCATATAATGTGAAGCCATGCACACATTCAGGACAACTCATGGTTGACCATTCAATAACCCATGCCCTTTTCATGGAACTAACAATTAGTATTATTATTATTTATTAAGTAATAGCTGAAATAGACACTAACATGAGTTCTTTCTATCTTTGCTTCTGCTAGCGATAACCTGCTGTGAAAGTAAGAAAATCCGATACGAAACCTGTAAACACTTTATGAAAGTCTTCATGGCTGCCAAACACTGCATAGCTGCTTAATGAAAATTTAACGCTACTGCAAACCTGACTGATCGGAAATCTACACATAGATTTTCGATTCTACATCTGTTAATCTTGCTATTCAAAGCCCATTTGTCGAAGCGCTGCATTTAAATATGACACCTACAGTCTCTATTACGTTTTTTAAATGTAATGCAAGTCATTAAAGACCTAACAAATCTGTAAAGCTGCTACACGAACCAATTAAAATATCTATATTAAGTTCAGCATAACGCTTGCGCCTAGCAGCTCCTTGGCATACCAATAGCTGCAAACGAAAACTGCTCGGCTCATGCGGAATAGACTTTCACAAGTAAGAATTCATGAGGTGTAATTTCGTATCTTTACCCATAATCATCACGGTCCTTTTTAGGCACAAGTTAAGCTAAGTACCAACTACCGAACACTTTCCAACCGAAAATGTCCATAATGTTCCCGATAAGAACATGCCTCGCGGAGGGTTTAAAAGAACCACGTGAACGAACAATCACAATTGTTGCCTTGTGACACAACTGCACCTCGCGGTGTCGTCAAGAAGCTCTGTTCACTTAACGTACTAGCTGAAGCTACCACTCGCTACGCGCTTGTGCGACTTGCAACATATGCCTAAAACTCGAAGTGAAGGGAATAGCTGTGGCGAGATGACAAAGCTTACAGTCAACCACATCAGTTCACGTACCACGCGAGCACACGGGAAGAGCCTTTTTGAGACATTTCTGCTACGTTGGTGCCGTCGACCGCAGCGCTAGGCTAAATACGCATCACTCCCTCAACGATGGCCTCGCTATTTTTTATGCGGGGCATAAAATTTTCCACATTTCTTTTTTCAATGCGATTTGCTCTTTGGCAGACGTGGCCACTTGCTTTTGTCATGAGAGCAGTTTATTAGCACAACTGTTACCAAAAGTTATGCACATAGACTGTCCAACAGCATGCAGCGATTGCTGTGATTCTGCAATCGAAATAGGAGTACGACTGTCATACTGCAGATAAACACTAGGTGAAAGCAGAGAACTAACAGTAGAAAGCCAATACATCAATAAAAAACAAGAATGCCCACTGCCAGCCCAGCGCAGCAGATGATAGGTAGCCCACCACCAGACGGCACAAACAGGCAGATTAAGTATGTGCTTGTGTGGTCTGTGAACTTTCATTGTTGACAATAAGTACAAAAAGAAACAGGCAATACTGCTTCGTGGGCCAAGTTGTAAGGTAAGCTAATGAAATAGATATTACGTGCTTGGCGATTGGAGAGACATGCTACTAGAAAAGCCGAATTGAATGTTCCAACAAGCTGCGTGCGACATGCGGCAGGCCTCACCTTTCTGCGTGGGGCTTCCAAGCTCACGGTCAGAGAGCAGGACACCCCGCTGGATGAGCTCTTCTTTTGTGGCTCGCATTGAAATTTTGCGCTCCAAGGCTGCAGTCATGTTTCAAAAAAGAAACGGGAGAAAAGACGAAAAAAAAAAGAATAAACTGGTTATAAACCTTTGCAACACACAATGATTTACTTCCTACAAATGCACAAAATTAACAAAACTTGATGCTAAGGTTTTGGAGAACTAAGTCAAAGCAGGTGGAACTTTTAGAATGAATTAGTGGGTGCTATAGCAATTCATTGAAGCTACAGCATAAATAACTATAAGGTTATTGTACAGTCAGCCGTGCTGTAATTCTTGATAAACGAAATTCAATAACCCATTTTAACTACATGTGACAGTTATCTGTTGACAGCGAAAAATTCCTAAATGGTAAAAACAATCTTGAAATCCCCGCTAAAATGTTCCAGGTACAATGTCTCTTCAAATACGTCACTTCCCCTACGAAAGTGATTGTTTGTAGCAAATATTTTAATTAATAGAGTCATAAAGGAACAAGATTGCTTAATTCAACTTTAGCTCAGTGTTTGCAGTCGTGTACCGACTGACAGTGCACAAAAATAGCAAAAGTCCTGTCTCCAAATGAGGACGCAGTGTCACAATTGGGTAATGAAACTGTTTTTTGTATCAGTTTATTTGCAAGCCACTGCTACTGAGGCCACAAAAACGATGCAGCAGAGTGTTTGATGAAACCACTCGCCGGCAAGTTCGTTCTGCAGTAAGTGCCACAAAGTGTTCTCTCGTGACGATGTCTGAACACTTGCTGCAAAGCGCACTCTCTCAATGCGCACTTAAGGTTAACTGCATAACTAGGGTGTTAAGATGGCACACAACAGGAAACAAAGAACTAAAATTGACGCTGAGCGCAGTTTTGATTTTCGTCATCCGTGCTTCACTTTGTGTCCATAGTGACACATTCTAACAAAACCCTGTCCTATAAACCACCAAAACTAGTAGTAATCTCTATGCTCGGTTATAACATGAGAAGAAACGCAGGCTCCGCCCGCAAAACCATGGCACGCCTGCCTTTTAGTTGTGAAAGACGGCAAGGTTAGCTGGTTTCTGTTTAAACCAAAAGTACCTTTTCTCGACCGATGTAAATACTTTGCCTCACCCCCCCCCCCCCTCCCGTATCAAGACATAAAAAGTTCATGTTTCGTAGAGCAGGGACATCAAAACCCCTGATGAAATTTGCCAGGCCCTTAAAGTTTTGATGTAAAGCCGGCAACAGAAACGTGTTTCCATATGGGAAAGTCAACTATTTGAAACACTCGAGCAGTTCTTGACATCATGGAAATGAGCAAGCGCTCATGGATGGAGCATTTATTGAAATTACATTCTGAGGGAGGGACAGCGATGAATGTGGGCAGAGCCGACACTCATTCTTAGGTTCTAATCGGATACGGTATGTTATAGTCTAATGTAATATGCAACCATATACAGTATGTAACCGACTCCCAAACGGAAACGACAAGGAAAGGACGCAGAGGAAGACTCACTGCGTGAGGTCTGCTCGAACTTGTCACTCTTCTTTTTCCGCTTCCACTTCCAGGGCTTGAAGAGGCGGCTCAGGGTGGCCAGCCTGCTGGCATGCTTGCTCACCTCCACCACGCCGCTCGAGCCGCCCCCGCCGCTGCTGGCACCGTGCGGAAGCCGAGAGTTGGAGCCCAGCGAGCCAGTCCTCATGTTACTGTTCCCGCACTTGGGACCTACACAGAGGCAAAAAAAAAAAAAAGACGCACTATGTAGTAAACTGGAGAGGAAGACAGTTCTGATCAAGAACACTGCATCGTGCAATACCCATTACGACAGAGCAGCGTGAATTAAGAGATTTTGTACCACACGGGACACAGCGCTGTGCGTTTAATGAACGTTAATGGACAAACTCGCCCACCTAAGAGCCCTTGTGCAAGACTCAAATTCTCAAATCTTTTCATTTATATAGTGAATTTAAAAGCTAAAAACAGTAATCCGCTGCGTGTCTTTGCTCTGTCTACTGTACCTCACAATTTTACAATTTCTGAACTAATAAATCGCACAGCGGCATGTCGTACAGGAGGGCCTCAAAAAAGTTCTTGAACACGAATGATTTTCGGGGTGTGGTTTCCCGGTTCCAAAATAGTCTGTCATGGAATAGAGTTTTCCAGATACTATATAAAAGAAATCTCAACCCTAAGAGTTTCTCAGACCCAATTTAAACCACTAAAGCATTGTCAAATGTCAACATCAAAACACGGCTGACCCTAATGGTCACGGAACCCACAAACATGCGATGACAGTTCGACGTATAGCATCTAAGCCACTGCTAAGGCTCATCAAAGGCACATTTATGTAATGAGGGGCTTCTATGATTGGTTATTGCATCGTTTTCACACCAATCACAAGTGCAGGTGCACATGATCAATATCCCAGAACAGCAGACACAGACTATCTAAGACAGGTGCGGTCAAGTCTTGATATGTGGGGTTTAACATTCGAAAACCACCATATGATCATGAGAGACGCCGTAGTGGAGGGCTCTAGAAATTTCGACCACCTGGGGTTGTGCCCAAATCTGAGCATACGGGCCTACAACATTTCCGCCTCTATTGGAAGTGCAGCTGCCGCAGCCGCGATTCGATCCCGCGACTTGCGGGCCAGTAGCCGAGTACCTTAGCCGCTAGACCACCGCGGTGGGGTCAGGTGCAGTCAAATCTAAATAACGAAACACCTTTTTTGTAGTATACTCATGCAGGCATTGGTAATATGCCCTAGAAAATGTATTGCAATTTTTTTTCTAGCAATTAGACATGTAATACAGCCTGATATAGGAGGATCTTGGACAGAGTCATTGTATTTAACCCTGCATACCGTCTACACACAATACTAATAGCAATGCTGGCCCAATATTATTTAAAAGAAACTGTTCCTGCTATAGCCAGTCTTGTTTTGATAAGCTCACATAGGTAGCTAGCTTGCCTCCCTGGCTGCCTGCCAGTTACGATGACTCGATGGTGTGCTTTTGCAACAACATTCAGCAACTTGTTTTTCCGTCCGAAATTCCATCGCCCGATTATATACCATTTCAACGGAAGCTCGTATGAAGTGATGAAAGCCAAAGCATAGCTTTACTTCATCAGCAACCTTGCAAAACAGATATGTGTTAATGAAATGAGATTACCAGCAAGCCAGCTGAAACAAGTGTACTTATTTCCATACTTCGGTGCAACAACTGGTCAATGTCAAGAAATTTGGCTGCACCAAAAGGCCGTAATGTGTAAAGTGCTCATAAATGACAACATCCATTCAACATCCAATCACCCGTCACAAATGACAGAAGTCCTATCAATGTAAACTATCAGACAATAATGCTAGAAAACGAAGAGGGGACACTATTTGTAGCAGTTACAATACAAATGCGAAGAAAGTAAAGGGGACGAAAAGGTGTGCGATACATCACATAACAGGTTAAACTCCTTTATGGGATTCGACATCTACCCCATGAGATTCAGGCAATGAGAGACGTGCGTATCAGCGGAGGGCTATGGGGTTTCGACCACCTGACTTTCTTAAACACGCCTCGAAATCGAACACTTCGGGAACCTTTCGCATTTCCCCTCTATCGAAATGTTACCCTTGTGGCAGGGAGTCTTGCAATAGGACGGAAAAGTGGGCTAGTTAGTAATTCATATTCATCATTTATCAGCCATCCGTCATTATCACTACTTGACAGTGAGTTTAACTATATAGATAATTCGTAGACAAGTGCTTCGAATGAACGCCATGCTTGCTGCTCACACTATCATCTTATTCCTGTTGACATGTGCACCCTTGTGTACTTATATGTCCTTCGAACGTGAGATTAAACCAGTTTTTAGTTGAGCGCTCGTGCTGTGTGCCTCCTCTTTGCTTTGTGTCCATGTTTACCCCCGCGCTCCCAGTTCGCTGAACAATCAGCAGGGAGTCTTATTGGATCTGAAGCTGAGCACCGCAATCATAAAAAAACCGTGACAGGTAATGGGTAATGTGTCAGGCGTAATGTAATATGCTGAATGTTACATTTCTAATTCATGTCCTATAATAGACACATGACAGCATATGTTTATTAATGCACTATTCTATGTATCATAAGCAATAGAAATTGACTGACTGAACTGACATCCCCTCACCAAGCATTGTATGTGAAGCTGCATTGCACTTCTGGTAGTACACCTTTACTACAATTAAAACAGCATGCATAAAATGATAAGCTTCACAAATGTACCACAATGCTAAGAACCACACTAACAAAAGCCTATGCAAATACAAGTTGAACGAGTGCCACAAGGCATTGGGCGGGCACTATTTGCAGCCCTGTTTGCATAAAATAAGATGACTGATCGCAACACTTGGAATATACTTTAAGTTCCCAGCGCTGTGGATTGATGGCTTGTACAGTGTCATAAGCCTAATTACACTAATTTCAAGACGAATGTCTCCAAAACTGATTTGCAATAACTCCTCTACCACTTTTATGGCATGAATTACCACATAGCCAGACAGCACATGCATGTGAACCTCTGGAAATGATCGCTTCAGAGTTCCTTTGACGTGCCATAGATGCTGTGAAATCAAGGTAAAGAAACTCGTCAAGCAGTTTAGACCTGTCTTTGGTGACCACCAATGACATCAACTATTATTATAATGTAAACAACAGTGACAGGCAGCAAGAAAACCTGAATGACACACAGCATTTCCGTACTGCTCCGCTACATCACTCATGCTGCGATGTCAAACCTACCTGTAAAGCTAGACAGAGTCAGCAGAGAGTTGAAGCCCCAGCTATGCGAGGGTCATTAAACCCAGCATGCGTGGCAGCTCTCCATTTTTTTTTTTTTGTTTACGAATCTTCTAGGAACAGTGGCATGCACTTGGTAAAGCGAAACGGGCCTGAAGCAGATGGCTGCCGCATGCATGGAGCTATGAAAACAAACCGAGGACGAATGAAAGGACGGAAGGGGGGGAAGGCTGTAAATACCACCGCCGTTCCATTCACATTCTGCAGCAATGACCCCACACTATAAAACACCCCCCTGGCAGGCGTTCCGATGTTTGTTGTGACAAAAGACAGCTGCCTCGCGATTGCTTTAACGAGCCACAACACCCCCACCCTACCTCTTTCACTCTGGGCTTCTCCCATTTCGTGCAGAACCTCAAACTTGTGCTCAGTCACAATAAAAGAATGCAGCGTGTATCCCAAAAGTGCCCGATTGGCTACTGCTGCTGCCAGCCAATCACCAGGCAAAAATCCGGGAGCAAACTTCAGAGTAAACATGATGTTCGTTCTAGAATGTTGCCTGTTACAGCCGCAGAGATGAACGGGAACGGAATAAAATTCCTGTCTTATCGCTCGCTAGAGGGGGGCTGTAAGTACCACAGTTCTTCCATTCATGCTCTGAGACAATGACGCCACACAAAAACACTATCTCCTGGTTGTTGCCACAGAAAACAGCTGCCTGCAATAGCCTTAACAGTCAACCCCCCCCCCCATTTCACTTGAGGCTTTGCCTATTTCGTGTAGCACTTCTACTTGTATCACAAAGATGCATCTGATGGACTGCTGCTATTAGCCAGTTATCTAGCAAGATATGTGCAAAGCCCCCCTCTTCCCCTCCCCTGCAACCTTTAGTACCGTGCATTGTTGTAGAAACTGTGAGCTAGCGGCCAGTAGCTGCTAGAGAAGCTGGAGAAAAAGGCGGTGCGTGCGCCCTCTCGCCACATGTTACTGCACATAACTGCCTCACGGATGACCTACGTGGTGCTGCTGTCTCTGAGGCCAGGTTCGGCGTCAGCTGCCCCAATTCACGCACGAGGAGAGCACCCCCTACCCTGAAGAGACATCAAAGAGCAATAGCAACCAAAACTAGCTTTCAAAAACGTAAACACTCTTTTCAGGGCACACTTACACCTACCAGCACATAATTCAGTAAAATGAGAGCTTTGGATTTGATTTTTGAAGATTTTTGTGTCGAAAACCACTTTTAAAAAAAAGAAAAGATGTAGGAAAAGTGGTAACTCTTGTTTAGCGAATTGCACCTTAATACTTTTCACAAATAACATATTATTATTATTATTATTATTATTATTATTATTATTATTATTATTAGTATTGGGGTTTGTCATCCCAAAAACCACACTATGATTAGGAGGAACTCCGTAGTGGAAGACTTCAGAAACTTTGACCGCTTGGGGTTCCTTCGCGTGTGCCTAAATTTAAGTACACCTTCGCCTCCATCGGAAAAGCGACCGCAATTCGATCCCGCGACCTTATTGTCAGCAGTCCAAAAAGCATACCCCAAATCATTGTGGCAGGTAATAACGGAATAATGTCGACGGTGAATCGCTGAGCGGCTGCAATCAAAACCAGTTGACAGAAAAAATGACAAACAAGAATAAACGACCCCCCCCCCCCCCAAGCAAACACACACAAAAAATATGGGCTGAGAAGGCACACCATTCACACTTTGAGGTCAATCAATCGCGCAGGGGGCTTTTTGTTTCCTGGGCAGCAGCGCGTGGCGGGGCGAAATTACAGCTCTCGTCCCTTTACGTCTGCGCATGCCCTTTGGACACGATAGCAGGCTGTTCGAAATTCGAACCGGAATATTTTGGAAAACAGGTGAAAGCCCTGCATCCCGTCCATCTTCGATTCATTAAAAAAAAAAAGCCTACTACGGCTGGCTGATTCAGA